ATGAATTGTTGGTGGATGCTGATGGATTAGGAGGAGGAACACAAGTCGCATAAACTGCTACTTTAACGCAAATAGATGGAAAGCTGCATGTAGGCATAGGGCACACAGAATATCGTCGAGGCAGTGATACAGGTTCAGCTACTGGTGCTCCTTGTCCTCTGAGTTGCAGTGCTGGTAAAGTTTGAGGAGTGCTGTGAGTCGTTGGTGGAGCAGGTATTCCGGTACCAGTCTTTTGGTATGCATTAAATTGGTTCCACATAGGTTCCGACCACGAAACAGACATGGGTAGAGAGGAAGAATTTGCTGGGTTTTCTTTAAAAAATAAATGAAAAGTCTCATTAGATTTAGTGCTTCGGTAATGGTGAAAATTCATAAATATTAGTGATTTTCCATCCTCACTTCCCTTCTCACATTGATTGAATCATTGCCTCTACTAACGTTGAGAATTAAACATGCGTGATATGAAAGACGGTAAATTTTGAGTGCGCTCATGAAATGGAAAGGAAAGTTCATTTCATGAACGAGCTCAAACTCAACCATCTTTCTTATCTTATTTTCTGAACGACGCATTTAACATTGCTGATCCTAACAACATGCAGGAAGCTTGTTACAACATAACTTAGTTTATAGTTTAGGATGCAGAAGACGGCTAAACCCTACTGTATGGTCTCAGGTGCACGAGGCAACCAGGCTCCTCCTCGAGACAACTTAACGGAGCTTTGATATAGGGTTGTGAGTTATAACAGCTGTCCCCTCACCAGCGGTGGGGTGAAAATGAAACCTGCCAATCTGTCACTATCGTGACAGATAGGCAGGTTACATTTTGTACAAAATGGCAGACCGAAGGAAAGGATTAACAATCAGTATTGAGTTTTTGCTTCCACGTCTGACCGAAGTATTATCGATGGTTGTTAATATTTTCCTGGCGCTACTTTTTACCCAAAAAGAAATACTCATTGCCTGAGCCTCGGGTCAGGAAGGTGAGCTGAGGTGCTTGGATAAGAATAAGTTGTCCCGCCTGACAGGGTTACTTTACCAGTTAAGGCGAGACAACTCGTCCTCCCGAGTGTAATATATATGGTCTATAATTGTGTAATCAGAAGGGTTCAATCAAACTCTTTCGGCCCGCAAAAGTCGGTCAACCTGCACTAAAAGGTTACGAAGAACCAGTCACATAAAAGCAATTTGCCATGGCCACAATCAGCGGGGTGGAATAGTTTTATTGACGAGAGTCTACATCAAGGAAAAAAGTCGAAGAATGATCTTTGTTATTCGAGACCATTTTTTTAAACATGTAAAGTTCACCATAACTAGTATTTGCATATAAACCCATACGTTTCACGGCCTCAAATGGTGACTTCTCCTTGATTAAGCTAAATCTTTATGCCCTGCGGTTTGGCATATTAAGGGACAACCAACAATCTTAACACCTGCAATCTAAAGTTACCGAGCTGCGAATAAACAAGTATCAAGGCTGTCTGACAACGACAAAGGGTTGCAAAAACTGTGGAACCTACTAACTTGCAGGATTTGTCAATTTACTACAGATCTCTCTTTGATTACGTCTCATTCTTCTTTCTCTTTACAACTCCTACGCTTGTTCAAAAATGGTGACAGATTTTATCAAATTTATGAATAGTTAACGCATTTCTGCTGACAAGAATATCAAATTATCTTCCACACGCAATCTAAAACAGAGTGAGCGAGATGATAAATTATAGTTATTCCCCATTTATGAACTTCAATAGTGACTCTTTTAACTCTTACTTTGCATGATTTCAAAACAATATTTTCCAGAGGGACAATAGAAATGAATCTATATATAAGTCCATCGAAATCAACAATGTTAGCTTGAAGTGGAATGAACATTAATCACCATAAATAGAGATGAAGAAACCAAGCTTATGGAAACATTTTCCCCCAAATTATTAATAGAAGAGAAATTGTTATTGTGTCAGTGTAGCCAGAGACATTCTGTTATTCATTTTCTGTTATTCATTTCAGGGAGGGGGTGTCCAGTGCATGTAAAGCGAGAAAGCACAAACCTTCTCTTTCGTTAATTATCAAAACATACCTTTACGGAAATCAGCGTCAGACTTTCCTGATATTGATAGATATGTAAATAAAAAGGCCAGAAAAAATGATGCATTCATATTAGACATACTTCAATATTGCCATTCAGGAGATTTCATAAATTGAACTGATGTTTTCCAACTGTCAGTTTGTCATGGACCAGTGAATTTCTCAAATATTACGTAAACATATTTTTGCCCATAGGCACATAACCTATCATAGTGCGTCCAACGAACGCTGCCTGAAATTTTCCGTTCTGTTTAATGAACACAAAATTTAGTCCGGCTAAAGATTATTTAGCGCCGTTTATACCGGGTAGATTGTCGGCAGTCTGAAAGTACAAATTCGGTTACATAACAACATACAACCGGACTTCTGATACAACCGAACAAAACTACCGGAGGAGGGTACTCGTGACCGGCTAACCTGTCTGTTACAGTTTAATCAACCTTTCTTTATACATCTTTTTGTACCAAATTTACTTCTTACTGAGCGAGCGCAAGGGCCGCAGTGGGGAATGTTGGCCCAAGGTCGTGGCAGTCGGGACCGAGTGCAGCGGGGTCCGTGCAAAAACGACGGAGGGCCAATCATCCCCAATAAGACCCAGTAGAGCAAGCGAGGTGACTAAGTAGTTTATCATATGGCACTCGGACCAAACTTGATTAATTTGAATTTGCCGGCTTTAGGAAACAAAAATACACGGTTTATGACCGTTTCCGTGGAAACGGTCCGTAAGGAAAAATCCCGACCAATCATTAAATCGTTTGATAGACTCGCCGTAGTGAGTGCATGAGGGTGAGGCGAAATATTAAGTAATAGCAATAGAAAATAGTGTTTTATCATTTTCTCTCGATAACAGCGAGTCTCGGTCAAATCCAAAAGAGACAGAAAGATACAATATTTTACTAGACATAACAAAAAGCACCCTGTTTAGAATCATGTTATTCAGAGAGTAATCCCGACGTGGGTAACAGTTTTGTCACTATGGCGTTGAAAACAACCATTTTGACTCGTATTAAGGTAATGGAAACTTTTTTCTTCACGGGGCGTGACCCGTTCGACTTCGATAAGGTAAGATTGTCTGACAGATCCAAGACTTACGTCAGATTAAGACGGCATTATAGCTCGGTCATGCAAAGAAATGTCCAAAGTCTATTAAGATAAAGAAACTGCATACCCCGAAAAAGCCAGCATGCCTTTCCACTTCCAAAATGGGTAATCCGGCTATATATTTTGGCTTGTAGGCTCAGAAGTCTCTTTAGGAAACTCGCTTCGGCGGCCACCGAGCGCGTGTAGTTTGAATTTGGTTTCGTTCGGTTTGGTCAAGGTGACGAAATGAGAGTTCTTGAGAACAATAGCGGAATAAAGCGGCCTCAAACGGTTCCTTTTTCGAGCGATTCCTTTTCATCAAGATGAATGAAGTAAGGAGAATGATATAGATTTTATGTTTTAAGGCTTTTTGCGATGTGTTTTTTTTCAAGGTTGATTTGTTCAGTCTTATCAGAAATAAAGCATTTCAAGAGCTTCAAAAAGAGGCTTTCAGCGAGCATTTTTTTGATCATTATAGGCTGATGTTCGAGTCCTCTGTTTGCAGCATTCCCAAAAGGAACTTATAGTCAATAGTGGAAACTATGAAACGCCACACGATCCAAATGGCGGTGCCCGGATAAAAAATGACCGCTGCATTATTTCCTAGAGAGGTCCTTTATTCATATCGTAAAATGAGGAAATATCACGCTGCTGTTGATTTGACTTTGCTAGGGTTTATTAATCTTTAAGCATCAGAAACAACTATGGTTATTTGTTATTTGAGTCAAGGAGAAGATTTTGTTTTGTTTTCTTTTTTTTTTGAGGGGGGGGGAGAGGACGGGTTTAAGAGGTAAAATGGCTTTGAGAGACGATCCGGATCAATATCAGTATCTGGGCAACTGCCCACCTACCCCTCCCCTAACTCAACAACAGTCAATTGACAACAAGTTAAGGTTAATGTTGGGTTAGGGGAGGGGTAGGTGGGCAGTTGCCCAGATACTGATATTGATCCGACGATCCTAAGGCAATTCACACTCGGTAAAGATTTTAATATCGTCAGTCAATTCACACGCAATTTATCTGACCTCTAATTGTCTATGACAAAAGAAAGCTGGTGGATGCAAGAATCGGACTGCCTCGTAAGGTTTTAATTTGCCAGATAAATCGGACCGTTTTGAATTTCCGAAAAGTAAGAGCAATTAAGTTGTTTGTATTCTCTGGTTCCAGCCATATCCAACATAAACCACTTGACACTTTAAATTAGCCTGTTGATTGCTGTACTTTTTTATTTTCTTCGTACTAGTAAAGAGAGAAGACAAAGTTAGTCTTTTCCCTTCCCACACAGATGTCATCAACCAAGGCGTTACATGTTTTAAATCCTCGACCAATGCATTTATCTGCCTCTGAAGGTCCATCCTTGCTGAATGTTTCGCCTGCTTCAGGCCCCGACCAGCACTCACCTTAGGAACAATAAAAATTGCTTTGAATCAAACAGTAGCCGGTACTTCGGGTCCTGGCAGAGAATATATTTTGTGGGAAATAGAGAGCGTAATAGGATTAATTTTTTGTCGGTTTTTGGGATTCAGGGGATCCAGCGAGAATAGAACGTCACGTGGAATTTTGTTCTATAACTGATGGAAATATACATGTTTTAGATGAATAAACGATGCGATCTTAAAAGTTTTGGTGTTTAGGTTTAAGGAAACAAACATTTATATGAAGTTTTAAGATGATATCTGAATTCCGACTTTATGAATTAACTATACGAAGCTATCCAGAGTCACTAGTTACAATGTTTACAAATTGGACGGTAACTTTTCAGCTACCTTCCTCTACGTTACAATGTCTTGTCAAGCAAAATTAGGGCTTGAAAAAAAAAACCCGTATCAGTGATTTTATTGTGCAAGTGTGTTCTGTCGCACGTGTTCGCCTACCGTAATGCTGCAACCCAAAGTGGGAGTATTTCTTTTCCTTTGCCTTCTGGGCACAGAGACACACCAACTCATACAAGTAAACGTCCCATTCTCCCCAATTAATTTCAGTTCCGTTATTTTTGGCACTTTTTCGGTCGCGATATGTAAGAAGCAGTTCACCGAGTGGTCGAGCATTCTTCTTCTGATTATCCTTAAAGCAGCCAACAGGTTTAAAAGGAACTGAACAACGTGCATCTGAAAAAGCCCAAAAACCAGAGTGGTATGACATATTCCTAAGAAGTCACAAAGTGGTTAATGGATGGTTTTAATAAAACGCTGCAAATTAAACCAAATGAAAATAGTTATCAATAGACTGAGATAAGGTAACGACAGCTTGACTGATTTTCGAGCACGTACTTGCTGAGTTATGAGAAGCAACCAGCTGAGACCATAGCATGGGCCACTTATCTTATTCAGATCAAGAGTAAGGATAAATTCCATCGTTCATTTGTTGTGGGTCACTCGTTTGTCTGCATGCTACCTGGTAATCACAGTCCTTCGACATCTTAAATAGAACTCAGTATATTCATTGGAAAAGTGCCAATATTTTTTTTTTACATCTGAAGCACGATCCACGTCGATACCTATTCTCTACGGGGCTCATTTATTCATTTATCCACTCTAATTGGTAACTTGGTTAAACCTTAAGTCAATATATTAACGAAAACGACAAAGATTCATCAACTTGACTGACTGCGGACTTTCTGTTCAAGAATGCAATGCTGAAAGCCCTACAAACTTAGGGCAAGAATTCATCCATTGAGATTTTGTTATATCCTCCTTTAAGAACTGGCTGTAATCATCTACCTTATTCTGTGGAAAGGAATTGTGAGTTTCTCCGTTCAAATGGTAAAACGAGAAGCATGTCTGCTTAGTAATTTCTGTAAAAGCAACGCCTGCTAAACTGCACGTAACGATATTACCTTCACTCTTTATTATGGTGTAAACATAGTTTACGAAGAGTTTTCCTACACACTCTATGTCTGTAGATTTTGGATCCTCAGGGCATGGCTGATAGTCGCTGGTCAAACAGCTGTCTGCTGAAGCAGGACCAAGTTGGTTATATGTTTCAGCGGCCTCTGGACCTGACCAACATTCTCCTGTTCAGAAGGATATGCCCAGAGAAAAGTTGATATGAACGTTCAAGCAATGCTTGGATATTTCAATCTCCATCAAACTTCGAGGTGAACAAGTTCTGCTATACAGATTTCATAGGCAATGACAGCAATTTAACTCAATTGCGAGAGCAGTTGAGCAATATACAAGAGCACTCGCAGGAGAAGTAAAACAAGTTCACATGCATGAGTGTTATCATATAGAATGTGTCATTCTATAAGTATATGCTTAAGGAACTAGAGTTTCCCTGAAGTCGTTTACCATTAGAAGCTCACATTATTTATGGAGGTAAAATCCAAAAACTTCTGGTGATCAATAACCTTAGTCAACTGAGTTCTTGCTACTTAAATAATACTTGATTGTGAATATATGAAAATCATGGATTTGAACTGCGGACAAAGACGTGAATATGAAGGCGATCTTCGCAGTAATGAACACTACTTGAGCGGTAGTGAAAATAAAGTCTGAAAAACTTCAGGCCTGTACGGGATTTGAACCCATGACCTCTGCGATACCGGTGCAGTGCTCTACCAACTGAGCTAACAAGCCAAACTGTAGGGCAATGGAGGTTCCTTTACTTTCTCGGTAGTTTTGTTTTTTGGGTCCAACCTCTCCACCTATCAAAGTTTTCGTTAAAATAACATTTGTCTATAATATTGTTCAAGACTAAACCTCCTCACCGTAAAACTGTAAGCCAAAATGGGTGAACTTGTTGTCTGCAGCCTTCTCCGCACATCTGCATGCTAACTTTGGCAAGTACGCGTTCCAATTCCCCCAGTCTATCTTAATATTACTGTAAACAGGAGACTTGGAATCGCGATCAGTTAATATGAGTTTATTTAAAAGCCGAGGGCCCTTTTTGTTGTCTTTGAAACATCCGAGTTTGTGATATTCTACTCCACATGTTGGCTCAGCCTCTTCAAACAAGAAAAAGAGAAAAGTGCGTAAGGCAAATAACCTCCCACTGAGGTAAGACATCGTCTAAAAATGGACACTACATACATACATAGATACAGACGTACATTCATATATGCATACTACAGACAGACAGACATACATGTATGCATATAATTGGTTCAGCCTCTTCCAACAAGAAAAAGAGAAAAGTGCGTAAGGCAAATAGCCTCCCACTGAGGTAAGACATCGTTTAAAAATGGACACTACATACATACATAGATACATACGTACATTCATACATACATACTACAGAAACAGACAGACAGACATACAAGTATACATATGTGACTATGACAAAAACATGATAGACTGTTAGCCAACACATCCTTACCGTTGCAGACGACCGAACTTGAATTAGCAGTTCTGTGACCAAATTGTTATGCAGGCTCAGGGTGATCCTCCAGGAGCGTGTTACCTTGTCTAATTTTGGTTACCCTCCATTTTTCTTCACTGAAGTAGATTTGGTGGGAACCAAGAATATAATAATCTCTTGGTGTGAATCTATCACCGGCAATGAGATTCTTGCTTTCAGCATCATGTTAACATGATGTTATTTTAACTGTTAAAATTATATACTCCTAGCTCTTACTGAGATGTCCTGTTTTACGTTACCTGCTCTTTGTACTTCATACACGAAGTTGGTTTCCTTTTCTCCAACGCATATCTTTGAATCAGAAACATCGCACTTCTCAAAATTACTCGTAATGCATGTATTTTTGGCACCAGCCCTGTTGTACGTCTCTTGCGCCTGTGGACCAGACCAACACTCGCCTGTAGAGAAAATAAGTTACTTAACCTTAAGTTGAAATAATATGTCGTGTTTGAGTTCTAATGACTCTTGAAATAATAAACTTTGGAACAAGAATTAACCAGTTTAGCACGAAGAAAAGGTTTTCAAGCGACAGGCTTTCACTAAAAAGCTAATACAATTTTGGAACATATGTCGAGCAAAGGGTTTTTATCAAGACCGCCAAACTTTACCCGAAATTTCGCTTGTTTCATGGCCTACAAGGACTCATCTTTTTTGTATTTGGCGTCAGACCTTGGTGTCAATTCTGTTGATGATTATGTCACTTACCGTAGAACTGAATACTGAAATATGCATAATTGCGAACTTTTGCTTCCTTTGCACAACGGCAGACGAGGTCGTTAATGTAAGAATTCCAGTCCTGCCAGTCGACTGATTTACCACTAAACTTCTTAGTCGCTGAGTCGCGGTCGGTGAAAAGCAACTTTGGAAGAGGGCGTGGGAGTTTCATGTCATCCTTAAAACAGCCTACTTTAGTGTACTTAGCAGGACATGCTGTTACATCAGAGGAAAAAGAAAAACCAATTTTATGACCAAAAATTCCTAGAATATTCTTGTTAAAATATTAACACCGTTAAATAGGAGATGAATTTAGGAAAATTTATTTAGTGAATGAAACATGCATACTTGGAGGAAAAAGACTCACAGATTACAACAAGTACGAAAACAACGATTATTTATCGCGCGAAGAATTTTAATTCATGTTAATATGGCGCTCGAAGGGTGGCAGGGGATGGGATCTCGTCGTCTTCATTGATTTTGGAGCAAATTTGGTATGGATATGTCGTTTACTGAGAAAGTGTGAAAAGTGAGTTGATGCTTAATCGCAGCCTAATCGAAAAAAAGTATGATAGACATATATACGCCAATAGGAGTGAATTATAGGAAAATAAGGAGTACAGTCTATACTGAGAGATGATAGTTAACACGGCCGGTACAAACAGGAGAGGAAAGCGAGAGGCTTATGATTCCAAAGAAAACCGTAGACAACAACATGAGCAAGATCAAATGGTAAGATAATCCAGAGGGTGACACAAATGACGTAAGTTCAAGACTTCACTTTCTGAAAAAAATCGTCGAGCTTTGCCGTAGTTTTATGATACTGTTACTTTCATTGGTTTAAATTCTATATCTAAAAGAAGCATGTGCATACTTACTTGAGCTGACAGGTTCGACGGCAGCAACATACGGCACTGGAGACTCGGGGGACTGGGGCTCTGAAACAAGTTAGGGGTTCTCGAAGATTTATCATAAAATAGGGATAATTATTAGCATTAGAGCTTCTTTTCATCATTAGACATCATCATTATCATTCAGTTATCAATACCATAAAGTTCATTTGTATAATGTGCTACCCTTTTTTACTTTTGTGCTACAAGTTATAATCAATATAAGTATCTATCAAGAAAAAAAACAAGAATTGAAAAGATGAATTTTTGTTTCAAATTTCTATATCTCTAATTTATTTTAGAACAAAGTATAGCGCTTGGTTTTGTACCTTCTGCTAAACAAACGACCCGAGTTATTGAATCCACCATATTTAGGACATCATAATCCTGGAAATAAATTACGTTTTCATTTGTCGGTTCAGAGGCCATAATGTTCAACTCCTCACTGTCAACCAACATGCCAACACCTACAGCAATCACATGTACCCCTATGGTTCTCAGGCTGGCCATAGGCTCCTGAATTAGTTCTTTTCCTTGCTTGTAGTTTAGTGGTGTCGTTTGACCATCAGTCAATATCAATAGCAGTTTTTTCGCGAATGTTCGGTCGATTCGCTGAAATATTTCAGCCGCCTTCTTCAGGGCTAACTCTGTTCTCGTGATTCCGTTTTGATAATTGTTTTTCAGGTTATTTAACTTCCATTCCAAAAGCTTTTGGTCGCTGGATGGTTCAATAACCTCATTAGCAATCTCACTGAAGTCAATGACTCCTATGCGACTTTTTGCATTCCAGGAAAGTAACTTCTTGCCGAGCTGCGAGGCAAAATCTACGCTTTTATCCCAGTTTCCTTTAAGCACACTACCAGACGCATCCAAAGCTATTATGATATCCAGCGGTGAGTTGCATAATTTTCCTACAAACGAAATAGAAATCTGTCAGGAGTCGCATTAAGCGAGCCACTTCAACGATTAAGTTCTCACATACGGAAAAACCAGTAAGAGTAAGAAATTTCCTATTAGAGGATTGAAAAAGTAACTTAAACAAGAACAACGATGAGTTTTTTTTGTCCTCAAGAGTTACAAGTAGATTGCTGCAATTATAAACTACACAGAGAGTACAGGCTGTCCTTAATAACCATAAAAGGTTAGAAAGATAGGACAGCCGTTCTTAGGTATTTAATTGATAGATACTATGTTAGGGTCAGGTACCAGCCGTTCAAACACACCTACCCAAAACACAAAAAGCAGAAAAAAAAATAAAAGCGAGAGGAATAACAACAAATTAAAATTAGAAAAATGTCTAAGAAAAAACTTTTCAATAAGAATAGATTTCAGCTTTTCCTTGAAAGGTTTTAGGGGGAGGAATTTTATCTCATCGCTTACCTGTATGTTAGTCCAAATTTTAGGACGCACTTTGGGTGTGACATTTTACCAATTATCAAATACTTCTACTAGAAGTAATATCTATCGTTGTCACCTAAAAATCCGATCAAAGTTTTTCTTTTTCTTTGTTTCAAAAGTCGTCTCCGCTAATGATTATGTAAACCTCCTTTAACGAAAACCACGAATCGAATACCTTCCCTCCTACCCTATATTTTCCCTTTTCTACACACTTCAAGACATGAACCAAGCTGAACAGTCAAAACAACAAATATCTGTTGGTTACATCCGAAACCTTTCCGAGTTTTATGGGCCTCGGATGATTTTCATAGAAGGGATGATTATAATTACCTTAATTTTAGTGTTTAGTTACGAGTCTTTTCACGAAATGAATTTGTCAGTGATTGTGTGCTCCAAACCTTTTGATAAATTGCTTATCATTCCACTACTTCTTTTAAACTCCATTTGTTATCATCGGTTTACGGATGTCAGTTCGCTTAATTGCACTGCCGCCTGCTTCAAGTTCGTCCCCATCACGAACATTTCTCTCCACGAGAAGAAATTCACCACTAAACCTTTCTCCTATTCGAATTTTTTGTCCAAAAAACGTCTCTCTACTCAGATGAAATCAAAATGGGAGGGGTAAAATTGTGAAGAGACGGAAACTTTGGGAACTCGATATGTCAATTAAAGGCACGCTTCAGTCAACATTAGTCTTAAAACGGATAAACAAAATAGCAAAAGTCTCTTCAGAATTTGTGAAACCAGTAAACAATGACGACAACGACAACGGCCGTAAGATTTGAACAATGACCGAACAAAACAATGACACCTGTACATGGAGAGCGACTAAGTAACAAGAAAGTGGCGACAGGGACAGGACGAAAGAGTTGTTAGGTTTGATAATCAAAGTATAAAAGTTTCTAAAATTAGACACACTTATCCGGAGGATTACACAGGAAATATGTCTAATTTGGCACCTAACAACTGAATCGATACCTAGAAATCCTCGTCTTATAAATTATTGATGGTACTCTTAAAGCTGACCACAAAACATGACCAACAATGCTGTTCTCATTATTATCTTCATGTCATTAGCCTTAGTGGACCATGAAATTTTCGTCAAATAAATGCTACGTTTGAAATGAAAAACAACTTGCAAAACATAAAGTATTCTTGAACTTGTTTGATTTGTTGGCAGGTTTTACAGGTGAACGTTACATACGACTCAGAACGATTTTTTACAATAGCATATTTTGTCAAAGTAATTCCAAAAAATCACTAATTCCAAGAAACCACTTTTAAATAGTGCAGCTTTTTACTTTTCGAACTAAACATTAGTTAGTCCTCGGTTTGATTAGAGGGGTGGACACCAGCTTGTTAAGCCAACAAAACATGTAATTTTACATGGAATTACGGTTATCAGCTCTTACTAGGTTCCTTTGCGACATTTGTATTCATTATTACCACCTACTGAGGTCAAATTAAGGGGAATATAAACAGTTGCTCAAGATATGGAAAATTTTGGCAGTGACGTGCAATACTGACGAGCACTATGATTAGACTCAGCAAAAAGAGAAAGAGTTTGAATCCTTAGGTTGATGGCAAAAATCACAGTCTTCTCACCTGATTTCTGTGTTGATGACGACTGCAAGCCTACTAGAAAAACCCACACAAAATACAAATGCGTCAGCTGAACTGCCATGTATATAAACCAAATCAACTTTAAATCATGAACTACAGATGAACCACAGAGCTAATGGATCGACAAATTACGGATACAATAATCAAAATCAAATTTGACACTTTGCATCAAATTAATTACATGGCTGAGTTCTTTATTGGTTGGCTAAAGATTGAGTTGTAAACATACCTGTGTGTTATTTTGTATCTTGACACATGTAGTTTGCACTGTCGCCTGTAAGTTTAGAAACTTAGCTATTAATGAATTCCTCCCCCAAAGGCCCTCCAAATCGTTAATTAAACATAATTTCTACAGGTTATTCTAAATATGAAGACCACATATGACCTACCGTTGTGTAGATAAGCCTCCACTCGTGCCCAATAAAACAGCTTGTTAATCTTGTGACAAATTTGATTCCAAAATATACAATCAGTGAAAAAAATGTGAATTTTTAAGATGGGAGTTGAGTTGACTTGTGAGATTTTCAACTACTCGAAGAGCGCCTGGTATTCAGGGTTCGTTGACGGAATTCTACGTTTAAGTAACAGGAGAGAAAATTCCTTGTCTGATATGAAAGGAGAGTTAATAAGAAATAGAGAAAGATATTAAAAAGTCAATTCTAACTTCTCTGTTTCCTACTGACAAAGCGGTTAAGACCTCTAGATTTCTTATATTCTCCTTTCCCTCTTTCTACCCTTCTTTCGTCCTTCCTTCTTTCCTTTCTTACTTTCTTTTCTTTATTTAGTTTTTTCTTCCAAGCTTTTTATTTCTTTCCTTTTATCTCTCTGCTGTTTTCTTTCCTTCACACGTCATTAGCCGTTCATTTTTCGCAAATGACGCCAATGATATTTTGAACAATGTTAGCCAGCCATTTTTTCGGGAATGATGTCACTGATATTTTGATCTATGGAAATTTCTTTAAAAGGCAGCAGGAATAATTCGCGAATAGCTATCTTTGATCATTAAGTACTGAGCAGAGTGAATAATGTACATTTTGTATTCAATGCGGAATCAGTTACAAAAATAGCGGACCAGTTTTAAAAGCTGGTGTTTGGACCAATACACAAAAGGGTCACAAAAGGGTCATAGTTAGAAGGCGAATATGATCAAATTGGTTGAGAATTAAATCAAAATAGAAAGAAACATGCTTTTTTGCTAACGTCTGTTCACCCAATTATTATTGGAGTGTTTCTCTTGGTCAGTTTGTTATTTGTGAATGGAATGCAATGAATATTTGCATTTTTTAATATTTGGGGGGTGGGTGAGCCACATCCTGGGGTGGCCGCCTTCGGAGTCAGCGCTGGAAATGAATTACTGTCTTATTCTCACACATTGGCCCGGGAGGGTCTGGAATTGCTGTGGCATTCCTGGTATACAGTGCCGTCTCAGAAATGTCTGTCTCAAGAATCAAGTAAGTGCAGTAGAAATGGGTTTTGTTATTACTTTTAAGAGTGAATTGTTCTTTAATTAGCGTGTGACGGCTCCAAATTTATTCCGGAATGTTCTGTTCTGCATGACCGCTAAAGCATTTTATTCTTTGTGATTCTGAACAGGCTCACGCCTCAAACCCCGATTGTCACAATAACATGCTTATGTCGCTGATGTGAAGTTGAACTTTACAGAAGTATCAACTTCGACCAAAGAGTAGAAAAGGAAGTAAAGTCGTTTATCCAGGTAAGATAACTTAGTCACACGGTAATATAGCGGAATTAAAGAATTATTTGTGAAATTATTGCATACAAAATTATAGCATAGAAAATTCCTGAAGAATTTTAACTCGTTGTTTATTACACGCAGATGTATTCTCTGATTGTTTTAACACAGCTTAGTCGCCTTTGAGTCATCTCAAATAACGACCATCGCCTTAAATGAAACAAAAGCTCTAAGTCGTTTGGTTAAATGGCCAAACAGTTCCAATACAGGAGCAGCGATTAAAGAGCAGCCATTTTGTTTATAGCAAATGAAGCATAACAAGCAAGGTTTAGTTTAAAAAGATTCGCAAACACTTTTTTTTTCTATAAACTTTTATAGGAATTGACGAATCAGATGTCGAAGATTTTTAAATTAGTTTTTTGGTTCGTTTATTAACTAATTTTTTCAGGTGTTGGTTAAAATGTGAGACACGCATCTTTTTCCACACCTCAACAACAGGACCAAACAGGATGGAACCTCACAGACAGGTCAGAAATAATCAGTGTCCATTAGTCTTGTGCTCAGGCCTTTCCTAAGACTTATGATAACATTTACAGCTAGCTTGCTCTCTCCAATTGATTGATTTTGTAAATTGTATCAGTCCATTCCAATGACGTCAGTTTTACAACGCAGTCTTTGTTTTCTCTTATTTGTTGTGGTAAACAGAAAATGCAGGAACCTGATGATTTGTCAAGCTGTGATTTTCTAAGTTTTGCCAAAAGCAATTTTCAAAATGGAGAAATATGCCAGTTCTCAAGAGTACCTCTTACGTCATCTCTTTTACACTGCAACAATATCGACGACAGGAAGGTAACAATTTCTACTTGTAATGCATATCAATCACTTGTACCATTTTGATCTAATCGATCATTAGGCAGAATATAAATGTGTTAAAATAACAATAGCGATTCCATTTTAAAATGGCACCCAGTAGATATCACAGTTGTGACCGTGAGATACGTTTCTAGCCCGAGGAGTAAACTGGTTGAGTTGCGTACAGTTATCAGAATTTTCTGGAGTTAATCAAATGACTTCGGCTCGAATGTAAGAAATGGTAGTATGAAATTCCACAGCTGGTCAACACATTTCGGAAAATTTTGCTACAGTCAGAATATTAAAACTAAATCAATCAAATGAAAATTAAGGTCACATATATAAGTGATAAAACTGGATATTTTTACATAATCTTTTCGTTTATCCATGATTTATTTGATGACATACTATTATTTCCCGTTTACTTCAAAGGCGTCCTGTGCAATTTCTGTCGCCATATTGCGATTCATGAGGGATATGGGAGAACCAAAATTCGACGAAGAAGACATTATGGTATTTATTTGTCGCGAATTAAAGCTTGCTTGTTGCTGTAATGCACATTTTATTTCTTTCGTACCGTATCACAATACTCCCTTATAAAGTAGCAGTAAAATAATATGCAGAAAAGAAATACTTCATGTTTTTTTAAAGGTTTCAGAAGTAAAAGAGACGCCACAGCCAATTGACAAAGCCTATGCATCAGGAACCACGTTCAAGAGGAAGGTTGTCTCTGAGAAGGTGAAAAGGAGCAAGCACTCAGTTATGCCAAGAGAATATAAACAGTTTATAATCTCTTGGTTATACTTCACCAGGGAAAGGACTCTATACTCCCCATTATCTTAATTTGTTTTGTTGAAACCCTCTGCTTCCCACTCAATGTACCAATATGATTGACCGGATGGCAATGGATTGTTTTCAACGGGTGTGAAGGGGATTGTTCCCGACACCCACAGAAATCATTGATTGTTACCTTTTTTTAAGTCGACAAACTTCGAAAAAGCTAGCGATGGCTGGAGAACTTGTTACAATAAATGTGCTTGACTACCATCGAACAAGCTTGGTCAATAAAGGATTGGTTGCAATAGTTTCTAAAGAATTGCAAGCTACGTATTCATTCAAAAAACTTGTAGTGGCTGAGTGCGACCTGTTATGTTTCCCAATAGCTACTCATTGCCTTGTCCGATTTTTTAAGTTTTTCGATCTGGATTTATTCTTAAGATCATGTTGATACATATTTTTTAGACCCAACAGATGTCTTTTACATCTCACGACATTCCACCTTTAATCATGATGAATCGTCCCACAACAAACGTTGAGAAAATACAGTTTATCACCAGCTTTGGAATACGTAGACAGACTTTAAGGTGAGCAATATGTAGAGGAGGCGTTTTGCTTTGTTTTTTTGTTGATTTTTTCGCCTTTTTGTTTATTTTCCTAAATGTTTACTTGCAATAAAATTCCAGCTCAATCGATGGTCACCACAACATTCAGAGCTGAAAAACTAAAAGGAAACTATTTTACTTTAATTGGGTTGGGCCATACTAAACGGTTTTTATTTCCTACTGAATAAGAAGTACCCCCATTTTTCACTCTTTTCTGCTTCTGTAGACTTATCAATGAGACCCTGTCATGTGTATCCCCAGTTTAAGAAAGGAAAGCAAGAAAGACGAAAATCTGTTTTCGCTTTTTGCTGCTTGTCATCCTTATCATTTTAATCTAATTACAGGGATGAAATCTACTGCCAAATTTGCCGCCAACTAATAAACAATGGTTCTCCAACAAGCTATACCCGAGGATGGATTCTATTGGCCCTTTGCGTTGGCGTTTTCCCGCCTTCGGATGAGGTGCTGTCTTGACACTGTAATCGCTTTTTCTGTATTTTCCTCCGCCTGCTGCAAACTAAATTAATCATTTTTTCGTTGTTAGCTGCTGAATTACCTCAGAAACTTTCTAAAACAAGGCCCCGGTAAATTTGGAGAATATTGCTACTCGATTCTTCAGAGAACTCTTGAAATAGGTTCAAGAACACAGCCTTCTACAATTGTTGAATTGGAGGTGAGTGATCAAGACGGTGAATTCCTTTCCGTTTTTATTGTTTTACTGCATGGCTCGTAATGTATCGCAATATTTTGTGGACACCCCTATCAAATGTACACTCCAAGAAAATTACCTTTGAATTTTTCGTATTTAAGGATATCTTAAACGATTAACAGATTTGTTCAGTTTATTAAAATGTCATTTACAAGTTAGCAGAAGGGTAATGGTCGGTTTAGTATGTTTAACCTCTTGGGAGTGTCCGCTAAATGAAAGTTTCACCACTTTCATATCTGCCGAGATTTTATAACCTCCTGCAGCCTAAATACATTCCAACCTGTGGGCTATGGTGACACACCGAAACTAATGGATTAGTTCCTAAGATGTGGAAGTTTACGGAATGTCGGTATCTAATTCACAGGCCGTCAAATCGCAGTCATCCCTTACTCTGCCAGTAATATTCATGGATGGAACAAGGAAGGTATTTGAAGTGGATCCTGCCACAACTTGCGCTGAACTGTGCCAGCTTATCAAAGAGGAACTGGGGCTGAAGGACATCTTTGGATTTTCCGTTTTCATTGAAGCATTGAATCAGGTTAGACGCCGTAACGAGGCTTCTTAACAGTGGCCTTCACATTTCTTCACAGTTTTAGGTTCGCCGGGTATCATAGATTAGACCAGTGCTAAGAAGTTTTTGGTAAAAACGAGACATCTTAAACACTGTAAATTAAATTGATCAAGTCATTTGTGTTTAAGGCAAGGTTTAAGGTAAGGTTATGACGTGGGTAGAATCATGAAAAGCGTCTTTTTTCCAAGAATGTCCACGGACATCATTTGTCCTTCTGCCCGCTCAGTAGTCACCATCACGCCTAACACTCAGTGTCGCAAGCGGGAATCACGCTTCGTCGCCCAAAAAACCAAAAGAAACAGAACAAAACAAAACAAAACGGCTGTAGACAGGTTGACGAGGTCTACGATCAAATGCTATTGGGACCTGATCGAAAGTGTAAACGTAGTTCATTACCGTTGATTGTTATTTTTTGTCGCAGGTTGCCAACTGGGGCTGTGGAAATGAGAGTGTTTTAGATGCCGTCTCCTTAGCTGAGCAGTATGCATGCTCTAAGACTCTAAATGAGTCTGGTGCTTGGCACTTATTCTTTCGAAAAGATTTATTTGCACCCACGGAAAATATCAGCATTGACAAAGTGGCCACTAATCTGATCTACCATCAGATTGTCGGAGGGATCCGTGCTGAGGAGTACATCTGTGAGGTAAGAACCAAACGGGAAAAGGATGTCCGAGTACTCATTGCTGATATGAACATAATCCGAATCCCTCCTTTTCTTTTTTGGCTGAGGCTTTCCCAGATGTTTTCGAAACGGTTTTTTTGTTCTATTTATTACGAGGAGGAGGTTACCCATCGCCGGTCGTCAACCCTACTATTCCGCTCGTATGCGGCGTAGGTTCACGTCAAATATATTTTTCTCCAGAGAGGACATCCGCCACAATGCCCCTACGGCAGCACAACTCGTACGAACGACAAACCGTTTTGAGATAGCTGGTGAATTGTAGAGCCGATCTTATTTCATTCTTAATTGCAGCAACAGGAAATGATTAAAATTGTGGCTAAACGGTACTATATAGAGAATGGTCCCGAATTACAAGAAAACTTACTCCGTGAGGTTATCCAAGCTTCTTTTCCGCCATTTGTACTTGCTAACAGTTCAGAGGACGAACTTGTCAGTAACGTCAAGTCAGCTTTTTATGCGGTAAGTTTCCTGTTCACAATACATGTGTGTTCTTGTAGATTGATTTGGAGTTCAATCGCGAGCATTACTTTGATGACGAGGATTGTAAATTTAATGGAAACGGATGAAGAAGAATAAAAAGAAGAAGAAAGGTTTTCAGGGGAAAAGGTTTCAAAGATTATTGTGGCTATTTTACGGTTACTATAAATGGGCCTTGAAATCTGATTGGTTGTTTCGATTTAGTGCTGCTTTCTTATTGGCTGGGAAAAGGATGCGATTTAGAGCAATTAAAATTAGATCCGATTCGTTTGTAAATCACACTGATAAGATTGCAAGGATTGCCAATGATTTCAAAATGGATGTAATAAAAGATAACATTATCGTTTAAAGTTCATAAAATGAAGAATGTTGTAGGGAAAGGGAAAGGGAAAGTAATTTTAGATGTAATGGTGGATATTGTGATAAACATAAAAATTCAAAATAAAAATTGCTCTTTATTTTTATCGTTGTGAAGAGTTCCCGCGTTCAAGAGAGATCTAATGTAGAGGTTGTGCAACAAGACATCGTACGTTATGCAGCCAGCAATTGGTTCAGAGATTTCTCAAGAATTTTCGATGGATTTGTGTCATCGGGGCCAAAACTTCCAAAAGTCGCCGTCAAAATCGCCTTCAATTCAAAAAGATTTCAAGTTTTGTCATCTGAAACTCCTGACAGTCCTCCCTTACTTAGTATGGGATACTCTCAAATCAAGAAAGCGACAAGTGTAAGGTCTGTAGAATGCTTAGTGGATTCAGAAGGGATCTCTTGGTTACACACATTGAGATTCAGCACTTATTACGTACAGAAGTCTTATGCTTTAACATGAGAGCTCAAACCCTCTGCTATTACTATTTAGAAAAGGAAAAGTCCTTTTAAATGAGATCCTTGATATGAAAACACCTTGCATTAATTTTTGCTAGAAAAAGTTAAATTTAAGCAAACCAAATTCGAAACTTTGGCATTTTGGATTATTCTGTTGAACTAGGTTTTAATTACAGGACAACTTTTATGTAAGGTTGTTCCAGTAGCTGGCTAGTTTGTCGTTTAGCAGGGTTGAGACTTCAATTGGTTTCGAATTATCGCCAAAATGCTTAGGATCTCGATTTGTCGGCGTTGGGGTGTGAAAAGTTGGACAGTTGACCGTTTGACCAGCTGTCTGACTGACCGAAGAAACAACTGTCTAATAGACTTACTGACTGACTAACTGTCTGAATGACTGTCTGACTAACGTATGCCAAACAGCTGGAAAAGGTTACATGTACATGAAAATGTTGCTTTCTCAATAATAAACTATTGGATGACTCACGTTAACTTTTTGTTTTGTATTCAGGAAAGGAATGTATCTGGATCCCCTTTTGGTCCTGAACACAATTCGTTCCCAGACCTTCTCTTTCAGGAGTGTGCAAGCTGATACAATGAATGACCTCATCAATCATTTCTTGCTATATTTTAAAACTCCAAGTTCCGCTGGCGGAGATGACTAATTATCTGACTGGATCATATCACAGCCGATCGTCACGTCATTCCGTCTATGGTTACCAGTTACTGATCTGCATCATGCAGTACTATACTCCATTGTTTGCTGCCGGGATGTAATCGGATATGGGACAATTAGCAAGGAAATGTATCAATATTATCGCTACGCAATAAGATAGATTCTTAGCGAACGCATCGCCATATTATTGGAAAACGAAATTTTAGGAGATAGACTTTTGTGATAGTAAACTAAGCATCTTGATTTTATCAATGGCTGGCACAATGTAGGAGGACCTTACCGAAGGTGTGCAATTGTCCTACCTGGGCGTACTGGAGAAATTATCTACCACGTCGAGGACGCTGACTCACGTTGTTGCTACAAGAGGATTTCATAAGGGGCGGGTTTCTTAGGTTGAAATCTCTGAAGCAAGGAACTGGAGATAATTAGAACGTTTTATCAAACCTGCGAATGATAGGCTATTAAATAAGAGTAAATATGACAGCTAAGTTTATTTGGGAGTTTCTATACCTAAATCAAATTGTTTGAAGTACTTTTGAAAGCACTTGTAAAATTTGCAATAGGGAAAAAACTAACTCCGCATTGAATCAGGTGGATACGACAAAATCCTTTAGGATTGCAACCAGTAATTATTGTAATGCAGCATATTTCCTGTTAGATTTTTCACCGAGAAAAAGAGATGTATTTTTTTTAAAAAAGTGAGATACCATTCCATATCTATTGATATCTCTACACGGGTCCTCGTATCATTTAGATACCGTTTGAATCACAATTCGTCCCACCCTGCTTTGAAATGTGAGACAAAACAATAAAGGCAATTACATTAATTCGTTTGTATTGCTGTATTACGATAAGATTCAAAACATTGCGATATTATAATTTCCCATTAAAGTCATGTACATGTAAATGGAGTCTTTGGTTGACAAGATGTCGTTGTCAAAGAGGTAACCTCTTCACTTCTACACAGGGAAAAATGCTTTTCTATATGTCCAGATTCGTCGCTTTCGGATCAGCGTCGCGTTCGAAAGCTTTCCTATCCAGCTATCCAGCTATCCTATGTCAGTTAAGGTGGCTTAAAATGGTTTTGTTGTTTTGAAAAACCAAATCTTTGATGGATTGCAACTTTCGCGTCCGGCCGGACTTAACTACGTCGTAGAGCATTTCATGATATGCCCGTCACTTTTTCTATCTCTTCCTCCATCTCATTTCTCACAGCGCAGTAAAGAAAGCCTTGCACCTTTTACAAACTCGCTCGCGCCATGGTGTATGGGCAGGTAACCTTGTGCTTCCCTTTTTTATAAATCTTCCTTCTATAATTGTTCCTAAATTCTTATTTGAGCAGTTAATGCGAGAGTAGCGACTAACTGGTCTCATGATTTACTTCTACATGGCAGATACACTCACCATTTTTGTCGAAAGTGTGTTCTGCTGGACAATGATAACGAAGGCTCTAAAAGCCAGACTAGTCAGTTCTTTTGATTCCTCTAACATTACAATCATTCCCCCAGTCTTGCCGGTTAAGGGCGTCCTATTTCTTTTTCCCCCAAGATGAGGGGGCCCAGGGAAGAGCTTCCGGGATACTGGCTGTTAGATTGGAACATAATTTCCCGCCTTGCACTTATATCCTAACGGAAAGAAAATATTTATTAGCCTCGTTTGCATGTGATTACAACACAGCCCGGCTGGGGCACTGCAGGTCTGATCCAAACAATAACTTTGCTTGAATACAAACACAATTATTTTCGCTTATAGAATATTACTGTCAAACCTCTGGATTAGAAGGAAGAGATTGATTATTGAAATGATTCTTTGATTTTTCATGTATGTACATTCTTAATGGAATACATGGTTGCTTCCCAAGCGACGTGTCTCTAATGCCGGTAAGTGTCCTAATATTGAATTAAAGTTCTTTTGGGCTCCGCTTTTATCAAACACCAACAATCTCGAACAATCTGTAAATAGATGTGTTTACTAAAGTTTAAAACAGTAGTTGTATTACTTTCCTGTATTTTAAGACCAGCCATATTTATTTCGATCGATGCTTCTGACAGTTAATATATGTTTGCAGATTGATTGCATCTTGCTATCTCATCAAGCCTTGTTGGTTGTATCTTGAAAGCTTACAATGGTGATCGTCTCCAAGGTAGGAAAGAATAATGCAAAAAGAGGTGTACGATTTTTTTATTCTTATTTCTTTCGAAAAATATGAAATCGGAAGTGCACGCAACGTTTCTAATCATCAGTGCGTTCACTCGTTACAAAAATGTCAACCTTACATCTCGTTGACACTAAAGCTCTTGGTGAAAAGGAGAGGGAAATTTGTATTTTTTTAATAACATCGACGACGTCATATGAACGAACTAAACTTTCGGTAGTAATTCTTCATAGCTGCGGACAATTTATTGCTCCAACGAAGAAAAATATCTGTTTGATATAGGCTGGAGTGTACTGAGACGAACAAAATCGAACGATTTAACACCTATTTGGAGAAACTTTTTTAAAACAAGACTCGAGATATGTTTTTAACAACTTGATGAAAACATTCATTTGTGATAAAGTGTGTCTGAAACCATCCTTGCATTAAGCTGAACACAGTGAGTTAGTTATGAATATTTATTTTGGGTCTGAAGCTGTACAATATAAGGAGGAACCATAAATAACATAACCTCGACATCTCAGCTAGATTAATATTTTATCGCATCCTTTTCGCGTACTCCTCGTTTTCTATATTTTATAACATGCTGCCTGAATACAAAATGAATTTTTTTTATTATCTTGATATCAGTAACCTCGTAGTGCTCGAATAATCTCCCTGTTACTAGTGCATGATAACACCACTAATTTAATGCACTCAGTAATATGAAGTCGCATTGTCTTGGCTTAACCTCCCGGTCGATTAATTGGTTTGCATGAGAAGATCGTGCGAATGATATAATATGCTTTGTAATCATTCTGAATTGTGTAAGCGTTGTCGATTCCCAGCAAAATGGAATCCTAAATAAACAATTTATGATTAGTAGTTGTGACGTATGGAAGTTTGATCATTGTTACATTCTCACCTCATGCTATATCAGCGAGTTGCTTTTCATTTTTATTTCCCTCAAAACTCAGGTGACAGTGAATGTTGTTGTTGGTCAATATTATTGACGTAAAGACACATATTTTCATCACCTCAATTATCATTAATGATTTGCAGGGAGACAGGGAGACTTGCAAATTAATTGTATTCCTTGTAAAATATAATTGCGGACTAGGATATTATTATGTCTTTCTTGGAAAGCACAAATTTTTGTATGGGAAATAAAAATATTTCCAAAAAGAGGAGGTACCTTCCTACTATTTTTAAATATTTGGAATTCAGACACCCATATAGTAAAGAAATGGATGGGAATGGGGAGTTTGTGTTCAATTTGTAGTATAAATGTACTGTAGATCATAATAAAACCAATTTCAAAATATGAGTGTTGTGCCAATATGTACAACATTCCTGTTTCATGCCCGATTTGAATTAATTTTAAACTTAGCTTCCTACATCTGAACCAAAAAAATAATCCTGATGACCATAGAAACTAAGCGAGAAAAATTTTATGTATATGTATTCATATCTATGGAAGCATCTTTAAGCAAGCTTCTTGTCCTAATTAGGGAATGTTAGCATTGATAAGAACATTCCTTTCTTTGGTTGTGGACCTGTCAAAACTGGATGGGAGCTCAGCACAAAAACTTTTAATTTGCGTAGAGGGCTGAAAAATTTGATCTTCATACCATGTTAATAATGATTTTCAGCAATAATGTTCATAACTTGTATTTCATCCAGATACCAGTACTGCTACATTATGGTGTAGATCTGGAAACATATTGGTACAATATATCATGACTGTCCTTTGAAGCAGTTTCCAGGAGGATTTATTCACTGATAGGTTACCTTTTTTACCACAGAGATGAGTTGAGGCATGCTCTCTTTCATGTCTACAGGGTGAACATGTCTGGCTGGACAATGCTGGTGGAGGAGAGTTTGATGTGCCCATTGGAGCACTGGTCAAATTGGCTGACTCAGGGCAGATTCAAGTTGTTGATGATGAAGGAAAGGTATTTAACCCTGGCAATTGTCCCCATGGACCTGTTCAGTTGTCAAGTGATATTAAAAATTGTACTCCATTGCTTATATCTCTTTCTGTGAAGAGACACTCAAATCAAGATCTACTCAGTTTCTTGTCAAATGTCATGTAAATGTGATTAACTGGTTTTATAACATTTAAGGAATCTTATTTCTTGCTGTTTGTTCCACTGTTTAACAGGCTATGTTGTAGCAAAATAACTAAACTTAAGAATATCTCATGTTATTTTACACATTTTCCAGGATTCCTCACAGATGCCATACACACCAATCAAATTGACCAGTAATATTATTTGTATCTGCTTTAGGAGCATTGGATCCAATCTTCATTGGCTAACAAACTTAGAATTATGCATCCAACAAGTGTAAATGGAGTTGATGACATGGTATGTACAATTTTTTCATTTAACTAGTTCAAAAGACAATATACATATAAGATGTGGTCCTCCATCAATAATGAGATAATCTGTAAGTGTTCTAATCTTTGACTTTGGTTGTGTTCCAAATTATGATATGAATCCAGTTTATTACCTCCCTCCACTAACTTATTTTGAAACATTTTTTGTGCTTGTCAACTCCCATGTAAATAAACCCTTTCAAAAAACCTCTACATAGCTGTGTAAGGGAAGGGCTCTTTTTCTACTTCTGAGGGTTGGATTTGACAGAACAAAATATTTTTGGGTGTCACCTTTGAATACTTTCATTGTAACAGTTGAAGCATGTGTAAGGTTGCACATGTACAGTTGTAGCTGTCAAATCAGTCAATTAATTATGCAGCTGAGTTTTGTCTTAATTTCCTTACTCCACTTATGAACTATAGATACAACTTGGAGATCTTAATGAGGCAGGAATCCTTCACAACCTTTTCATTAGATACTACAATCACCAGATTTATGTAAGTCAACTTAGCTTCAATTCATATTGATCACAGGAATACAATGTCTGTTAAAAGGAATTTTTGTTGTGACATTTAAAGGTATTTGAAGAGCATCATCAATTTCAGTTGACAGATCTTCTTGATTAAGTTACCACCTGGTCATTTAAATAAATGTGCAGAACCCAGACTCAAATGTCTCCAAACTCAACTCAAACCTCCATCCTCAAACTTTTTGAGAATTGAGGAGTCAAAGATCAGGAATCCAGGTTTAAGAAATGAGGAGTGGGAATTGAGGTACGAGAATCAAGGATCAAGAATTAAGGATTGAGGATTAAGTTTTGAGGGACTGTCGACATACTTTTGAGAAGTACTGCACACATATTGTACTACATGCCCTGCTTTAATTAAATTTAGTCTGTTAAAATATTTCTACCAATAACACAATTGTCATAGGATACTTTCTTTCCATGAACAATCATGTTACTGTACTGATGTTACAACTTCAATTTTTCAAGGTGTAATGACCTATGACCTGCATGTTGTTACTTTTCAGACCTTCACTGGATCCATTTTAGTTGCTGTTAATCCATATCAGCTTTACTCTATCTATGATGCTGATCATGTTAAGAAGTACAAGAATAGGAAATTAGGTGATCTTCCTCCTCACATCTTTGCTGTGGCAGACAATGCATATTCTCATATGAAGAGAGAAGCTCATGATCAGTGTGTCATTATTAGGTACTGTAAAAATGAAACAATAACAACAACAAAAACAAACTACACAACAGTTACATATAGAAGACAGTTGTGACTATAAATATTAATTAGATTATGTTAAATCATGAAATATCCTAACTGCTTGCAGTCACAAATTAGCAGGATACAGATAAGATATTAATAATTATTTGTAAACTCAGGCAAATTCCTTAATAAATGATTAATTGTTATCAGTGAATAATACTTATACATGTATACTAGTCATTATAGTTTGTATGATAATTATTGGCCTAAATGTAATCTAAAAGAGCTATTTGATTTAAAATTTCCTCTGTATGTTAAAGCTTTGAGCTGATTGTGTTGTAGCGGTGAGAGTGGAGCTGGCAAGACAGAGTCAACTAAACTCATTCTTCAGTTTCTTGCTGCTGTCAGTGGGCAACACTCATGGATTGAACAACAAATTCTGGAGGCCAATCCAGTTTTAGAAGGTGCATACTGTATATACTGCATAAGCAATACCCTCCATTTGGTGTGACAATATGAATGGGATATGTTCATGGACATTGTCTGTCCCAAGAATCAAACAGTTTTCCAACAGCAAAGCTCGAGGACAAGGTTGGAAAGTGCCAGGTTGGGGTGGGGGGAGGGGTTTTTTTCATGCTGTTAAGAGACAGGATACAGTCACACCCTCATTCACATACACCATCTAGTATTTCTTAAAATGGTTAATTTGTTGACTACCAATGAAAATATTGCTCTACATTCTGTTTATTATGATGGTCTTTGTTTAATTTAGCTTTTGGTAATGCCAAGACAGTACGGAACGATAATTCTAGCAGGTTTGGTAAATATATTGATGTCCATTTTAACAAGACTGGACAAATTGAAGGAGCCAAGATTGACCAATACCTTTTGGAGAAATCGAGACTTGTCAGCCAAGTAAGTATATCGAATTGTAGATGAAAAAAAAAATGGAATTAAAGTGTCTGTGGATTTACATTTTGTACAAAACACTTTTAACTGTCATGATGTAAGTATACTCTAAATATGTCTATGATTTAAAAATCAGTTATAACTCTTTAATTATTTTCACATAATTTATGATTAAACATTGATTGTTCTTCTAGAATGCATTCTGTACACTAGACTGCTTATACCAGAATCAAATGTTACTTCAAATACATTTTTGAGTCACTTTGTATTCTTACTTTTCCTTGTTGTTGATATACCCACCCCAGCATTTGATATATTAGAATTACTATGAAAAATCTGATTGATCAAGAGCATCTAATCAATATACAATACCTTGTAAATAAAAAATGGTATCTACAGTGGATATTACATTTATCATAACGAGTTCAAAGTCTGCCTTGTTTATTTTTTGCAGACTGTTTAAAATATATAAAATGGAATGATTACTAATGTCTTATAATGAAAAGATAAAAATAAATTTATAAATTAACACAATACGTTTCTTAATCTCTGGCGGCTGGTGTGTATAGCTCTAGAAGTGAGCTCATGAAGGCAAGGAAATAATTTATACAAACTTACATGTAGGACCTCCTAGTCTAAAGTACAGATAGGACATTACATCATTATGCTCATAAAACTTTGGATTTTTCAAGTTACAGTAATGTTAAGGATACAGTGTACACCAGCCATTAATATCATTTTTGCATTTCAGATGCCTGATGAGAGAAATTATCACATTTTCTATCGCATGCTTTCTGGAATGTCACGTGATGAGAGAGAGTTACTGAACCTGACAGATGCTTCAGACTACTACTATTTAACACAAGGCAACTGTATCTCTTGTGAAGGAATGGATGATTCAGAAGAATTTGCTATAATCAAAGGGGCAATGAAGGTAAGCATAGCTTCTACCTCAAGGTACATGCATAGTACCTAGAAATTTAAACTTGAAATCATCTTCAGCCAAAAGAAAGTTAATCTTTCTGTTTTTGCAATGATGTCTAGGTATTAATGTTCAGTCAAGATGATAGTTGGAACATTTTCAAATTGCTGGCTGCCATTCTTCACATTGGAAACCTAGAATTTGAAGGTACTTCCACAATTAAAAGTAATGTGACATTTATTGTTAGTTATATTTGTTAGGTTGCTACTGAATGAGAGGCTTGTGTGAACTGACTCTCTGCTCTTTAGAGTTAATAAGCTCTAAAGTAACA